GTCTGACGTCGTTGTTCTTCAGTACTCTTGAGAGGTCCCTCACAAGCTGACTTTCCCAATGCAATGCGCCTTTTAATTTCCTGGCTGCTGTTACCAAGACTGTTGACTGTGGAGCCAAGCAAACTAAAGCTGTATACAATCTCAATCCCTTCACCATCCATCCTGATGCTGCCAATTGGTCCAGTGGTGAGAATCTTTGTTTTCTTGATGTTGAGTTTTCAATCCGTATTGAAGGCTGCAGTCTCTGACCTTCTGCAGCAAGCGCTTCAGGTCCTCCTCAGTTTCAGCAAGCAGGGTTGTGTCATCTGCATAACGCAGGTTGTTGATGGATAGGGTATAGTATCTCTATTTTCCTGATAAGACAATCAACAAATGAAGACTATTGCATCTTACTAAAATTAAGAAAATTATTGTTACTTCAACTATTGTTAATAAAATAACATTCATAATTTAGGATCAATGAAATGATGCCAACAGTAAGCATTTTATTATTCCTCCACCACATTACAAAGAGTTATTTCTTCATTATTATACATACCGCAATAATAAGTCCAGTAGGTCCATTTATGTTATCAACCCAACCCTGAAAAAGATAACATTGTATTTCTTATTTGTCAGAAAAATGGTATGCTTTGGAAGCATTCATACTCTAATATTAATAAGTCTCCAACAAGAACACGAAGGCCCCAATATTACAATCTCAAGGGTTAATGGCAAAGAACTGGCTATATTCTGTACTTTACCTGTGCAAGTATTACCATTTTATCTTTTTCTTTCTTTTTTTTTTTTTACAGGCAGGCGTCATGAGTGGGATCTTTATGTCCTTTATAAATCATTTATGAGCTAAACTAGAATCTTGTCTTAATGTAATGATCAGCAGATCAATTCATCTACCATAATTCATCACACCCTGAGGCTTGGTTTAAAGCCCACTGGGATTGATTTTAAACACGTTTCTTGAAAATTTTAACAATCAGAGAATTCATACCGATTAAGGAGTGTATATTTGTGTGTGTGCAAGTACTTGCTTAGAGATATTCAAGCAATTAGAGGGAAATATCTTTTCATTTCTTTCTTAAGCCCTAAGCATGTTATTTAATCTTATTATGTCTGCTTCTTTATCTTTAAAAGCAACAACATATGTGAACGATGAGAGCAAAAGAATAAAGGAATGAATATTTGTACAGTTCTTCATATTTATAATTTTGTGACACCCTCCCATCATGGTTATGTTAGTCCAATCTTTATAGATGAGACAACTCAAAAGGTTTTATTGCCTTTAAGTAGAAGAGTTTGACTTTAAGTGACCCTAAAGCATTTCTGAGTTGCTTTGAAGAAGATAACATAGTTCAAAGCCACTTTCAAAAAGATAGAGCAGTATGCAGATGTGAAGATTTAGTACTGCTAAGCTGAGGGCCTTCTGTGATATTTGAGAATGTTTTCCCTGCAGTTGCAATATGTATTATTACTATGGTCATCTAGAACATTCTGCTATATTTAAGCCACACTTGGAAAGCAAAGAAATTAAACTATCTCCCATGGGAGTCACGAGGTTAGAGTTAAGAGAAGCAGATTTGAAATATCCATCGCATCACCCCCATATCAGTGTCATTGCCAAAGGATGCTTGTGGTGGAGAAATTCTAATCTAAGCATGAATTTTGCCTTATAAAATGGATTTCTAGTTGGTTTGCTACGTTCAGCTATAGATCCTGAGAAGGAAAAAGAGAGGTGAGGTCAGAAAATACAGTTGCCCAACCATGAAATGTAACATCTATGAATGGGATCTTCTGAAGTTTAAGTCCCTGTGTGCATCAAAAAATTTTCCAATGGGGTAAATAGAAAACCTACTGACCGGGAAAAAATATTTAGCAATGCCATCTCAGACAAAGGTCCCATGGCAAAAATTTATGGACTGCTTCAGAGTCTCAAGGACTGCAGCCTACAATATGGTTTGAGGCTCACTGTCAAGAAGACAAAGATTCTCACCACTGGACCAATTGGCAGCATCAGGATGGATGGTGAAGAGATTGAGATTGTACACAGCTTTAGTTTGCTTG